TACGAATTTTATAAAATCAGTCTATACCATCATCGTACTGGATTGGTTATATAATTATTATAGGACCAGTACGGTACAATCCAAATTTCGCAAAAAAATACTGATCTGCATAATCGTATCGTACTGGTCTGGCGAATCGTAATGTACCGGTTTTTTTATCTATCCATGTAGTACTTACAAAAGCGTACATATCAAATTCTGTATTTCCTATAAAAGTCGAAGATTCTCGCCATTATTATTGTTGCAACTTTCTATTCAAGTTTTTTTTTATAATCAGATGCCAATCTTTTCTTAAAAATTCATTTATGGCGTAACTTGTATTTCACTCGTACAATAGCCCAATCAGATTTTTAAAATCTGCAATTGTAAAACTTTCGTGTAACAACTTTTAATTCTTTCGTTAAAGTGCAAACATGTCAAAGAAAAATTCCATATATATCATATTGTGGTTTTCAATTCAATTATTAAGTAAAGTAAACTGTCAAACGACTCCTATTAATCCATTAGAACGAAGCAGCCACACCGCTACACTTATTGATAGTAAACTATATTTCTTAGGCGGTCGAAATGATAAGAAAATTGGAAGTATTAAAAGTGAATTTGTTTATCTTGACGTCTCTGTTCCATTTAATACTCAAAATATAATATTGCATGACTTACCAAGCATTAATACAGTTCCATCACATTATTCTGCTGCATCTGTTAAGGGTGGTGCAAATAATAAAACTTTGTTTTTATATGGAGGAATACCTTATAAAAGTAATGAAGTAACAATGTCTTTAGTTTATACATTTGATACTCAAAGTTATTCATGGAGTATTCCAAATATTACAGTTGACAATGTAATTAGAAAAGAAAATTTAAAAGGCATCGTTGATGATAATGGGAAATTTTATTTATTTGGTGGACGATTTAATGGCACTATTCTAAATGACATGCTTATATTAGATACAATAAGTTTGAAATGGGATATAGGAAGTTCAATTAATGCGCCTTCTCCAAGATGTGTTTATGGCGCTGTTTATGTCTCAAAGCATTACATTGTTTATTTAGGTGGTTATTATGGCACATCCAATATTGATGGTGTATCTTTATCATTGAAAGAGGTGAATTATTAAAAAATTCATCAAAATTATAAAATTTAAAATTTAAATTTTTATTTAACAATTAATTAACCATTAGATTTACTACTATGATATGGTTGGTAATAGGTGGCTTACAAGGGTATGTACAGTATATTGATTCTATAATATTGTTAGTTGTATAGATTTTACCTATTTATAATTGATTTAATCAGGTTACTACTGGTATAATTCCTTCTGATAGAGATGCTTTTTCTGCTGTTCTTGGTAAGTTTATTAATAATTATAAATAAAATTTTTCGAACTTTAATTAATTATTGTATTATTCTGATTGTTAATAAAGGATTGGATGAACAACAGGTGATTATTTTTGGAGGAACTAATTCTCTTAATAATCTCAAACCTCAGGATACTCTTTATGTATTAAATTTATTAAATTATGAATGGAGCATTCCAAAAGTTTCCGGAACAATTCCGGGTTCTAGATATTGGCATGAAGCAAATGTAATTGGAATATATATGGTTATATCATTTGGTAAATAAATTTTTATTTTTTTGTTTGTCATTTATTATACACGATATAAATTTATTATAATTATATATTCAATAGGTTTTGATTATGACTATAATGTTGACAATGATATTTTATTACTTGATATAAGTAATAATGAAGAATATATATGGACAAACTATTTCGATCCTATGACCAGTCCTTCAAAATCAAATGATCCCACTCCACCAACTGAATCAAATGATAAATCCGCTACTGGCACACCATTATCTGTTATAATTGGTGTAACTATAGGTACATGTGTCGTTGTTATTTCTCTATTACATGGAGGCTATTACCTGTATAAATGGCTTAAAAATAAAACGGAAAATATAAGAGCTATACCAACTCCTGGAAGTGCAGGTGATAACAATTTTAATCATGAAGCTTTAGCAATTCCTACCAGAAGTAGTGTCTATAATCATGGCCAAGAAATAATTCCAACACAAGAAAACTCTTATTATTATGGATTGCAATCGTCATCGATACCAAGAAACTACTAGTCAACGGTGCTGATGATTAAACATTCATCATCAATACAAAACATTTGCTTAGATTATATTCATGTTTCTAAACAAGTATTTACAGCAGTAAATATGCTATTTTTTTTTTTTTTTTTGTTATTTTTTTGATCATATGAAGATAAATTAAGGTTTGCTGGAATGTTAAAATTTCATTATTTTTTTAAAAAAAAAATAAATAAATAAAGATATGATGTTTTATTATAATGTATAAATTTCTTGTAAAAGTTATTTTAAATTACAATAAATTTAACCGGTTGGTTTCGGGATGAAACATTTTGAGAATAATGAACTGATGAATAAACTTAGACTGGACGAAAAAATTCTTGGAATAGTACTGTTAAATATGGTTCACATTTTGATAGCTAAAATTTTGAGAATATTTGAGCTAGGGATGCTAATGGTCACGGTAGTGACCGGTCATAACCGTGAGATATTCGGTCGGTCAAAGGCGGCTGACTTGAGACATTGACTTGTTGAGCAACTGGCAAATATGATTTAAATACTGAAAAAAAGTTTGTGTTTAATTAACAAAATCAACATTTTACTTTAATATTGTCTTTTTTCAAAATTTCAAAATTACAATATATAGATAATTAAAGTCCGCGATAATGCTGCGACACTTAATGAATGACAAAGTAGTTCTAAAAAAATGCCATGCTAGAATTGTTAAAGCAGAATCAAAATTATAATATTTGGCTAAATTATAACTTTCTATTAAACTATCAATTGATCGGTCAGCTGGTCGGCCTTTGACCGACCGTTACCATCCCTAATTCGAGCGAGTGTAGTAAATTAAAATGAAAAGTCTTGCGAATTACTATATATTATGTATCGATAAACGCTAAATATATTTAGTAATTCGTTTTATTATATCTCCAAGATTTATATAATAAACTAATTGTTATTGAAAATTATCGGAACAACTCTTTAAATTCATCAATATTTTCATTGATAAATCCATTAAATTATACTTAACATTGATTAAATAAAATTGTTTAAATTACAATTTTTAAGACGACAAAATTAAATCTTGTTTAAAAAATTATTACGGACGAGGTAATAAAAAATTAATTTTGTTGTTACGGTTACTATTGTATGTATCCGTCCCAAATTTCGTTAATTAGCAATATTTGCAGGAGCATTTTTACATAGTTATTGATTATGGAACTTTAAAATTTCGAAATAATATAAAATAATCCAAGAAAGGATAAAAAAAAAAAATAATTCGAAATTTTTTTTTTCGAAAATAATTCGATTACCGATTTTCTTTATATAAAATTTCAAAGAAGGTATATCGTACTGTAACTTTAATTAACAAACATTTTGAAAACGAATTAATGAGTTTTTAGCTTACGTTGTTGGTTTATTTACTAAAGATTGTGACGAAAAGATAATACGTTGTGCTTTTATATATAGTACTATTATCTTATATTCATTAATTTAAATAATTGGTTTATGCATAATGGAAAATATTTGACGTGGTTTATCTTCTATTAAGCGAAATTTACGCGATGCAATTTTTTTTGTTATAAAAGAGAATAAAATTCCTGCTTAATTTTTCATGTGTTACATGAGGCTTGCATTTTCAACAGTCAAAAAAAAAATCCGCCTATAAATGGTAAGACTTACATCATTTGTATATCAACTCATCTTTATGGCGTTTCTTGTATTTCTTGCGTAAGATGGAAAAGGATACAACATAAATTTCTGCAATGTAACAGAATAATAACCACATATTCTGTTTATTTCGTAATTATCTTAAAAACGCTATTATGTCAAAGACCAAAACCATTTATATAATATTGTGGCTTTTAATTCAATTATTAATTGAAGTAAATAGTCAAACGAACCCTTTTATTCCAATTCAACGATATGGTCACACTGCTACAATTATTGATAGTAAAATATATTTCTTAGGTGGTCGAGATGTTGTAGATACCGATAGAAGTGGACGTGAATTTTTTTATTTTGAAGTCTCTGGACCATTTAATACTCAAAATATATTATGGCATGACTTAACAAACATTAATACAGTTCCGGCACATCTTTCTGCTGCATCCGTCAAGGGTGGTATAAATAACAAAAACTTGTTTTTATATGGAGGAGTAGAATATTATAAAGCAACAATGTCTTTAGTTTATACATTTGATACTCTAAGTAATTCATGGAGTATTCCTAAAATTACAGGTGACAATGTAATTAGAAAAGATAACCTAAAAGGCATCGTTGATGATAAGGGGAAATTATATTTATTTGGTGGAAGATATAATGGGACTATTCTAAATGATATGCTTATATTAGATACAATAAGTTTGACCTGGAAAATAGGAAGTTCAATTAATGCGCCTTCTCCACGAGATGTTTATGGGGCGGTATACATCTCAAAGCAGTTCATTGTTTATTTAGGTGGTTATTATGCCACATCCTATATTGATGGTGTATCTTTATCATTAAAAGAGGTGAATTATTAAAAAATGCATCAAATTATAAAAATTTTGATTTTTAAATTTGACATTCAACTAATTAACCCCTAGATTTACTATTATGACATGATTGGTAACCTGTGGCTTACAAGGGTATGTTTATTGATTTTGTTGTTATTTTTTATAGCAAAGATTTTACCTATCTATAATTTATTTTAATCAGGTCACTACTGGTACAATTCCTTCTGATAGAGATTCTTTTTCTGCCGTCCTTGGTAAGTTTTATTAAAAATAATCATTATAAATTTTCAAACTTCAATTAATTATTGTATTATTCTAATTGTTAATAAAGGTTTGGATGGACAACAGGTGATAATTTTTGGAGGAACAAATGCTCTTAATAATCTCAAACCTCAGGATACTCTTTATGTATTAAATTTATTAAATTATGAATGGAGCATTCCAAAAGTTTCTGGATTAATTCCGGGTTCCAGATATTGGCATGAAGCAAATGTAATTGGCAGATATATGGTTATATCATTTGGTAAATAAATATTTTTTATTTTGTTTGTAATTTATTATAAAAAATATAAATTTGTTATGATTATAAATTCAATAGGGTTTGGTTATGACAGTAATGTTGATAATGATATTTTATTACTTGATATAAGTAATAATGAAGAATATATATGGACAAATAATTTCGATCCAAATGATACAATTGTTCCTCCTCCAGTTTCACCAAATAACGATTCACCAACATCTACTTCTATACCAGTTATGATTGGTATATCTGTAGGAACATGTGTCGTTGTTATTTCTCTATTATTTGGAGGCTTTTACTTGTATAAATGGCGTAAAACTAAAACGGAAAATATGAGAGCATTACCAACTCCTGGAAGTGCAAGTGATAATAATTTTAATCATGGAGCTTTAGCAATTCCTACCAGAACTGTCTATAATTATGGACAGGAAGCAATACCAACACATGAAAATTCTTATTATTGACAACAATTGTCATCGATACGAAGAAACTAGACAACCGTTCTGATG